CTGATGCTGTGCACTGTTATTGATCCCCTGTGTCCCCAGCTGGCTGTGCACTGTTATTGATCCCCTGTGTCCCCAGCTGGCTGTGCACTGTTATTGATCCCCCTGTGTCCCCAGCTGGCTGTGCTGTGCACTGTTATTGATCCCCTGTGTCCCCAGCTGGATGTGCTGTGCACTGTTATTGATCCCCTGTGTCCCCAGCTGGCTGTGCACTGTTATTGATCCCCTGTGTCCCCAGCTGGCTGTGCTGTGCACTGTGTAGAAGTGAAAGCTGGGAGGGAGCAGCATGTGGCCTGGGGCAGCCCTGCCTTGGCTGGAAGGAGCAGCACTCAGGGAGCAGACTGGGCTGGTTTTACAGGAATGAGAGAGGTTGGCCTGAGTGAGCTACACACCCTCCCTTCTACTGGGATAGTGAGCCTGCAGGCAGCAAACCAAGTGAGTGAGAGGGGTGACACTGAGTGAGTGAGTGAGTGAGAGGGGTCACACTGAGTGAGTGAGAGGGGTGAAACTGAGTGAGTGAGAGGGGTCACACTGAGTGAGTGAGAGGGGTCACACTGAGTGAGTGAGAGGGGTGAAACTGAGTGAGTGAGAGGGGTCACACTGAGTAAGTGAGAGGGGTGAAACTGAGTGAGAGAGAGGGGTCACACTGAGTAAGTGAGAGGGGTGAAACTGAGTAAGTGAGAGGGGTGAAACTGAGTGAGTGAGTGAGAGGGCAGTCGGACTGGGAATGCAGGGAGGAGCACAGACTGGGAGGGTGAGTGAGTGAGAGAAGGCTGGATGATGGGAATGGCAGTCGGGCTGGGAGGGTGAGTGAGTGAGAGAAGGCTGGATGATGGGAATGGCAGTCGGGCTGGGAATGCAGGGAGGAGCACAGACTGGGAGGATGAGTGAGTGAGAGAAGGCTGGATGATGGGAATGGCAGTCGGGCTGGGAGGGTGAGTGAGAGAGAAAAGGCTGGATGATGGGAATGGCAGTCGGGCTGGGAATGAAGGGAGGAGCACAGACTGGGAGGGTGAGTGAGTGAGAGA